AGAAAAGCACAATAATCTTCCCTTAATCTACAATTATTTTTACGGACAAGCTATCAGTTTACAGTTTCAGGTTATTTATGAATACCCTCAAACAACATGCTACCTTCCAAACACAAAGCCATTTTATACAATCTTCTACTTTAAGCACTTTTGTTTGAATTTATATCTTTGACACCAAGGGATTTTTCACTCACAGGAACCTCCACCTGTATTGCTTCTGGTGACCCCCATTACAACACCTTTGATAACCGGCGCTATGACTTCATGGGAAACTTGATGTCCGAGATGTCCGAGCCTTGTAACAGCACAGACGTGCATTACTTCGCTGTATACACAGACAATGACAACAATCCTAACAATCCTCATATCAGCTATGTAAAAGCAGTTCATGTCCATGCACTGGGAGTCATAGTGTCCATTCTGAAAGGAGGAACTGTGCAGGTAAGAGAAAAGAACATTATTTTCAATATTAATGATTTATACACTATCATGTTTATAATAGTATTAGTGTACATATACTGTATACATCTAATTTAGTGGCACATTCAAATATACAATTGTGTTTTCTGACTTTTCTCAGGTCAATGGTACCAAAGTGAACATTCCTCTGAGTCCTGTCAGTGGTGTTGACATTTTCATGTCTGGAAAGCACTACACAGTGGCCTTGAACTTTGGAGTAACTGTACGTTACGACGGAAACCACTATATGGACATTAAAGTTATCAAGGAGTGAGTATGGTTCTTATAAAAGTCTTCTTAATAACATCTTTTATAACTTGATTCACTTTTGAATTAGAGCCCGACCGATATGGGTTTTTTGGGACCGATACCGATATTAGGGGGTAAAAAAAGGCAGATACCGATATATCGGCCGATATTCTTTGTGTATATTATTGTACAATACCAGTCAAAAGTTTGGACACTTTCCCATTCGTGTGTCCAAACATTTGACTGGTACTATATATAGAATACAGTATATTCTGTTTATGTATATACTGTATTCTTTTTTGCAATGATCACTCAAATGTGGTGATCAAACACTTATAATGACGTGACAAAGATATGTAATG